TCATAGAACACCTAGGGTTATGACACGTCAATATTTTATATTTTTGTGTTTTTAGCCACAAACTGGCAAATTGCGTTTCCGGGAAAAACGCCTTGGCTTTAATTCGACATCGTTCGGCTTTTCATATAATGACGTCTTTGGTCACGTTCGTTTTGAGCTGAGTCACGAAGACAAGGTGACTGGCGGTGATGTCGTTCGCACGCTGCATGTAATGCCGCACATCTTTGAAAGGATACACCTTGATTTCTTTAACATTCTTTTCATAAAAAACAATCCAAGGTTATATAACGCGATTAACCAAGCTCATGCATTTATGCGTCGTCGAGATGTACACTGGGTGCTCCCTTTTTGCACATACGACTAAAACCATGTATGTCGGCAATTAAATCATCAACAAATATATCTCATGGTGCGTTGCTTATACTATAAGTTTGTTTGAATAATTGCACGCGTTCGAAAAACTGACATTGTGCTGGTATACATGCTCTGCAGATGTGACTTGCTGCATAGATTAAAAGGAACTGCGAGTTAAGATCAAATGAGAAGGGATGGGATGCCTAAATAATTTACCAAACATGGTAGATAAAGGCTCATGTTTTTTAAAATGAGAAAGAATGTAGGAGATGGCAATACGGACATCAATCTCCGTGTATGGGTCTGCAGTCGGCAATGAACCACACTTCACTCAATCTAAATAAATTGATGTAGACACCTAGAAGAGGTCTGCCACAGCAGTACTCTTAATTTCATAAGGAGAAACGCACTTCGGATCACTGCACGTTTGACGCCTCCTGCATCATAGTCTGCATTCTGTACTTACGCATCGCGTTCTATTCGAACGTCGACCAACTGCATGTATACCCCGGTCCCGAAATGCGCAAGTGGCACAATCCCATTAGACTACTTTCAGCTAAATCAGCAAGTTTTACAGCTTCTTCATGTTTCGGGACACAAACCGAACTCTACAGTTTACATGATGGACACAAGTGCATATCATGTGGCAGATTCCTCCGCACGGATCGACGGGTTTTATGACCAGTTGCATGCAAAGGATAAGCAGTTAACAAAAAAACCGTAGATTATCTTTCGATGCGCATACAGTCGTACATGGCCTGATTATTTGTAGTTTAGACTTGCCGATATATTAAATGACAGTGGGTTATCTGATCCTTTACCAGTTCGCTGTCAGCTTATTGCCTTTAAGTAACCTACACGGCACCAAACAGGACGTCTTAATTTAACTAGGTACTTTATAACTTAGTGAATTTAGATGGTAGCCGTGTATGAAACAGAAAATTGGTTTAGCACAAATATCATGTTTAAGGTAAATGCATAATGTGAAAACACATAAGCATTTTAGACCACTTTCCCCACGATAATTTCTATCAAATCTTTCGAAACTACTCCTCATAAGGGCGACACACATGTATTTGTCATGCTATAAATTAAAATATTGGATTTTTTTCTGTTCACTTCTTAAGTGTACCTTTGTTGGACTTGCTTAATCTAGAATCCCTAACGGATACGATACATAGCAAAAGCGAGTACAAGCATTTGACAGATAGCGTCGGGTAAGATGCGAGTATCGTCTAGAACATGTCTGCAGCAAAACTGAATTTCAAGCATCTATTATCTGTTACAGCGTCTTAAATCTATGTTATATAATGTACTAACAAAAATTGTAGGTGAATATCAGAAGCACTTTGCGAATTTGCAATAAAAACTTCCTTTATTCTTCGACGCTTGTGCCTTCCCCTCACATGTATCTTCACGGATGCAGTCAGATAACTGCCATGATTCACACCGTTGCAACCCTACTTGCGGAATGCGATTATTGCGGCCGTACATGCCTATCAACGGTGTCGGCAACGACACATTTATCATGCATATTCGTAAATGATTATGTATCTACTAAATCCTCGACATCCCAGTGGTTTATTGCTAGATATTCATTAGCTGGGTTAATTTATTTGGCTACTTTGTACAGCGGAAGTGTAAGTAGATGTCGCGTTGGCTCGCGCCCTTCCCGCGTGGCTAAGCACTCAGCCAAGGTGAAGTCTAGGCACACAATATGAGGCCGGAAGTCGATCGAACATTTCAATAGAATGAAGCCAAGGAACCCTAATTCGAGCAGGCGTCACCTAGTAAGTGTGGTCCTAGCATTATCTATCGTTAACCATAATAATCGAATATTCCCGTATGCCGTAATGACGGTCATTCAACTCACGGCACAGAAATGTCTACATTAGTGGTGTGGATTTTTCCATCAAATATCCGTGCCTGAATAAATTCAATAATCTTCGTAGAAAGCTCGTAAAAATACGCTCTTTCTTACTCGTTTGGAAGCAGAATACCTATTCACAAGATGTTTTATTCAGTGGCATATGCAGATTTTAAAAATTTTAACTCACGCATACCAGCACCTTCGCATATGACCTTTTATAAGTGTCCATTAATAAATATACTTCACTCTCCGTCTTACCGGGAAACTGCATATCCTCTATCAAGGATCTTCTAAGGGCCATATAGAGTTAATGATTTTCCATACGTGGGCAGCATGCAACGCCTGTCTTTTGTGTCCTAAACAGGCCTGCAAAACATATCATTTGGGATTTTGGAAAATTATTTTTAAACTGAAAGATTTTCCTATCTTAAAAACTATTATTTGGAGACGACGTGATTTACCACCAAAAGTGTGCAAAAACGCACTTAAGTAAATGCAGACATCGAATATTATTCCGCAAATACATGTAAATTTAGCTCCTCCATTTCAGGAAGTGCGGTTTTTGTAGGCGACCAAAAAGTGCATTCAAAATGCCGGATTCCTGGCATAACAAAAGTATCTTGGAATACTGCCGCATGCTGATACATACTGCAGACCAACGGGAATAACCCGGACTAATCTGACACGCTTTTAGCTGGTCCGGCTGACAATCAATAAAATTGATGACTGGGAGCATTACTTTTGTGACGATGATAAAGCATATTTTGTAATTTGACCGTTTCAGTGAAAGAGCTACCCCGCTCAAGCGACCCATTACAGCCCCAGTTCAGAAGCTGTGGTGGCCTCAGGGTCAAGTTAGCGGCTAGCCGGTGTGGAGAGTGCGATTTTCGTGTCATAGCTTGGTATTTAAAATATGTTAAACGAATCATGTCCAGTATGCCCATACCTTCTCCGCTTGAAGTATGGAAACTCTGCGGCAGGCCTAGTTGAAAATTGTTCCAAAATGGCAAAATTGCCGATACAAGCGCAGATGCGAGTTTCAGGAACTAGTTGATCAGAAGAAGAAGCGATCGCTGGAACAATGGCTTTATTCGCCTGGCGTTTCGGATTCTCTCTTGAATCCATCATCAGAGATAGTTGCAGAAAAGGGTGGCTAGTGTACAGGAAGTCGCAGTATTTATAGGATGCGGTCGCCATGCTACCGCATACCTACAACAATTAACCGTGCTCCCTTCATCACGGATTGTTGCCCGCTGGTGCGCTAATTGCTTGATGGCCGGCATGCAAGTTGCTACTTGCTGTCATCTCATCACCCGTGTTGGATGCTGGCGTGATGATTGCTCAGTCATCTGGCTTACCAGCTTGCGCGCTCCTTGAGTAGTCAATTGCTTTGGCCAGTCTATGCCTCAGAACAGAATATGGAGTGGGGATGCCGTTGCACTTGTTGATAGACTGAGGTCCCGTGAACCATGACTCAAGCAACTCGCGGCTCACGCGATTATCCCCTCTCGCGAGAATTTCGGCCTCACCGAACTTGAATGTGTGGCCGGGTCTCGTCGAATGTGCCGCGAACTGGGAGTTGGCGTCATTTCTCCGTACAGCTGCCACGTGTTCGGCGACTCGCGTCCGGAGCAGTCTCCCAGTTTATCCGACGTAGTTGCTTTGTCCGCAACTGCACCGGATCCGGTAAACGACTCTAGATGTTTCTTGCCGTGGCAGTTGGTCTTTTGGTCTCATCACTTGACGCGAGTCGCCGAACACGTGGCAGCTGTACGGAGAAATGACGCCAACTCTCAGTTCGCGGCACATTCGACTGGACCTGGCCACCTGGCCACCTGTGGTCAATACGGCTTGACCACATTCACGGACTCCTTCAAGGATTTTCCTTTTCAGTCGACTCCAATAAGCCTCAATCGCATTAGAATGTCTGCCCGTTGTGGGATCGTTGAAGTGCTTAGAGATTGTCGGGGAAATAAAAGTATCCTTTTAAGGGCAGCCAAGTATAAGCCTTACACTCGTTAGTTACCGCAACGCGGCCTTTTGTGACCCATTTAATAATGACGGCTCTAAGAGCAGGCCCACTTCTACGTTGACCTGCTCAAATAATGCTTTTCGTTGGCTAGTATCGTACATGCCAACGAGCCAGAATTGCATTTTCCGCTTCCCTGCATTGAACTTCCATCGACATATTAACGTTTCATCGTCTTGAACCTTTACTATGTCCTCCTATCTTCTTCGTTTGATTCCGGCTGCGGAGCAAACATTGCGATACAGCGCTTACCACTCAACAGACGTTAAATGATTTCAACCTAGGTATTTCGCGCATTCCCCAACTCGACTTACCTTCAAAAACACAACCAAATCTTCAGGATAGTGGTAATCTTGAAGCAGTTGTTTTCAGTTCAGTTCAGTTCAGTTCAGTTTATTGAGGGAAATGTAGGTCTTCACCGTTGAACTCCCTATTTGTTTACAAACAACTGCAAAATCTCAAAAACTCGAAAAGGTATCATAAAGGAACAAATAATCGGAAAAGCGTCAGTTCTGTACAGACAAACAAACTGTCTCGAATTTTAGTGGTACGAGCAGTTGTAGAGCTGTCGTTTCGAGTGCAGCGAAATAAATAATATATCCGGGGACAAAATTTGCATATGTGCATGTCAGCAAGCGTAGGCGATGAGTTGGCACAATAATACATTCAATTTAAAATGTTACTGAAATATAGCAAGTAGTATTATAATAACGGAATTGTCGAGGTTTCAGAGATCGGGGTGGTAATTTAGTGGACACTGCTACACAAATCCAGCTTCCTCTTAAAAACCTCGACGGAAGCAGACATAACGACATCCACAGGCAGGGCATTCCAGGCTTCTAGCACTCTGTTGGAGAAGAAGAACTTTCGTGTGTTCAGTCTGGCCCCTGTCACACGTAGTTTGAATGGATGGCCTCGTAGATTTGTGGTGGTTGCTAACTCGAAGAAGTCCCCCGGTACGAGGCTGCAGTCTTGATCGCGTATGATACGGAAGGCTTGTATCAGGTCACCCCGTAACTGCCTGTAACTCAAGGTAAAAAGATCAAGGTTAGCTAACCGCGTTGCATATGGTAGTGAACCCTGTCCTGCCACAAGTTTCGTTGCACGCCTTTGAACCCTTTCAAGGATGCTGAGGTCCTTCGCGGTCCAGGGTCTCCAAGCTTGGATAGCAAATTCTAGTTGCGGACGCACAAAAGTTCGAAAGACTTTAGCGAAGCAGTCTTCGTCAAAGGCAGAGAAAGCCCGCTTGACAAGGTAGAGGACTGACATTGCAGACTTGGCTATCTTCGTGCAGTGCAGCGAGGGTTTGAGCGAGGTCGTAATCCATACTCCCAAGTCCTTCTGCGAGTCCACTACTTGCAGTGGTATACCGTTTAGGCAGTAGGTCATATGGTTCGGAGAGCGAGCTCTGCCGACTCTTAGAATATTGCACTTTTTCTCGTTGAACGGCAGAAGCCAGGCCTTTGACCACTGTTGGAGTCGGTTTAGGTTCGCCTGCAGATGCTCTTCGTCATCTGCAGTTCGAATGACGCTCCAGAGCTTAATGTCATCCGCAAACATGGCGACACCACAATCCAGTCCACTTACGCAATCGTTGACGTAAATGATGAACAAAGTAGGACCAAGAACTGAGCCTTGGGGAACACCGCTTTCAACGGCAACCTCCGTCGACTTCTGGCCACCGACATGGACAGTTTGACAACGCTCTAATAGGAAGCTTTGAATCCATTTTAAGAGGTTACCCCTAACGCCTGTTCGGCTCAGTTTGTGCAGGAGTCGTTGATGTGGGACACTATCAAATGCCTTTTTAAAGTCGATATAGACGACATGCAGCGCATTGCCTTCATCAACTGACCGAGTCCAGCGTTCCAAACAGTTGAGCAAGTTAGTCACGCAAGACCTGCCACTACGAAACCCATGCTGCGCAACAGATAATAAATTATGCTGCACTAGGAAGCGCATCAGCTCTCGCTTGATTATTTTCTCCATGAGTTTGCAGCAGATGGAGGTGAGGCTAATTGGCCTGTAATTGTTTGCAGAGGCCTTGCTGCCTCCTTTATGCAGTGGTGTGATCCGCGCAGATTTCCAGTCGGCGGGCAAGCAGCCGGCTTCGAACGAGGCTTGGAAAAGCATGGACAATGGTTTGGCTAGTTCGGCAGCGAGCTCCTTCAGTAACTTAGGCGGTATGTCGTCTGGACCTGGTGATTTTGACTCATTCAGAGTCATTAGCTCTTTGCGAACCGTCGCTTCATCAAAAGATACAGACTCAATTTTTGGACCCTCATCGAAGTCGTAGTCGGGAGGAGTAAATGGACTTTCACTAGTAAAGATCGATTTAAAAAATTGTGAAAAGTGCTCAGCTTTTTCTCCATCCTCACTAATCTCTACGTCTCCGCTTGTCTTCAGGAGGGGGATTGGATCTCTGTTTCTTGTGCTGCTTCTTTTGTAGCTGTAGAATAATTTTGGATTTTCCATAGCACGATTCAATAGGTCTATTTCAAAGTTTTGCCGTGTCCTGAGGGTCAGTCGCTTGACTAAATTCCTCTGTATTTTGTATGCGTTTATGGATACAGGAGTCCCATCAGTAAGAGATTTCTGCCACAATCTCCGTTTTTTATTTATTTCCTTTTTTAACGCCTGGGTCAGCCACCGGGGTCGATTGTTTAGCCCCTTCCGTGAAAGCGGGTAGTGGTTTGTCAGGAGAACATGCAATAATTCACTGAACCATTTCCAATCCTCCTCTATATTTCCGGAAAACGCTGATTCCCTGTCCCTATTGTTGATTTCGGTCTTCATTTGATCGAAGTCCCCACGCCAAATATTTCTTCTAATTTTGGTGGGCTGTTCAGGCATGGAAAAGATTGAATAGTCCCATTGAAGTACAACGTGATCGCTTCGACCTAAGGGAGGCAGACATTGTACCTCATCTATGCTGTCCATTGATTTCGTGAGCACCAGGTCCAAGCAGTTTGACTGCTGTCCCGCACGGGCCCTCGTGGGAAATAGGACGTGCTGTGTGAGAAATGACCTGAGTGCCATGTCCAAGAAGCGTCGGTCGAAAGCTAGTTCTGGGCCGCGCGCGTATAGTGAACTCCAATCAATGAGCGGTGCATTGAAGTCGCCCATGATTAGGACGTCAGGCCGGAGAGCAAATCGTCCTAGCTCCTCTAACAGACGAGCGTCAGCCTCGGGGTCACTCCTCGGTGGTCGATAGACGGTCAGAACTTCAAGGCTATGTGATCCTGGTACCCTTATAGTGAGCCAGATAGTCTCGGTGCTGCATGCAAACTGTTCTGTTTTTTCTGACACAAGCAGGCCGTGTTTTACGTACGTGACGAAAACTGTTCCGCTCTACACGACTTCCTTTTCCAACATCGAGGACACCGAAAAGCCAACTCGTCAGAATGCCGATAGCGAACTTGTTTTTACATCCGATGATAGCACTTACACATCAGTTGCCTTGGCAACAGTCGTCTTCGTTGACAATATGCGATCATATCTTCCGAGTTAATATCGTCCAAAATTTTTTCGGTCTTGTTTCGATGCATAAACGTTGTACGAAGTCTCGGTTTAGCCATTTCGTCAAGGGATCTACAACAATATTAAACAATTGTTTTCGTCTTAACGAAAATTACTACAAAATTATTGCAATGGGAGTGTAATGTGTCTGTATCGCTTCTACCACATAAATATCTAAATAGAGAAAATACCTCTACCGAACCAAAAAATAGTCCATATCTGCGTATCTATAACTTTGCATTGTTAATGAACTAACTTTCTTGACAAAAACGTCGAAAAGTCTGTTTTTTCAAATTGTTGATTGCAACTGACGCATCGGTTTGATAAGGCAAAATTCCGGAATGGAACAAACTTCACTAGACGAGTAAAATCGATCGCTGGGGCTCTGTAAGGTCTTTTCATGCAAAACTCAAAATGCAGACAGCATAAGCACAGTAGCAGTTTGGATCTTATTTAGTATTATTAACGGCCGATATAATAGGCTTTAATGTGATGTCCTTTAATAGAGCCTCGTCAATAAATTTACCGGATCCATGAACTCTAGAGCATTTGTTAATAAATGGAAAGCCGATTGGACTTTTTTTATAAGCAGGTAGATCACGAATAGTCATTACTGTCATTTGCAAAAAATCAAGAATGAATAAAAATATCCATGCCTATTTGAAAAACAGCCATTTTTAATTAGTACACCCTTAAAAGTAGCTGTATGAGGCAAACTTAAGTTATCAAATGCCAAACATTAACAGGTCCACTTTTCGATATGTATCTTACTGTTTAGCAGGACTCTATTGGAAGCCAGTGCGTATTGAAAGAGGAGTTGTGTTAAATTATTTTCAGCGTAGAAATCAACCTGGCATATGTTCATTTGCGCGGTTATGCGAACTCGTGCGTCCCGGATTTTTTTGCATCTGTTCTAAAGATTCAATTAACAGATAACACATCACGACATTTTAGCACCCGTTGGGTACCTATTGGATCCAATGTTTCTGTTCGGATTCGTCAGAGTATATATCGCATTTTATGGTGACGTCCATAATGAATGCCGAAAAAGCTTATTTTTAAGCGTGCATGTTGGGATCAAACTGAATTTCGCACCGGTCAGATTTACCATTGCACTCTTAAGCCGCCCGAGTTCCGTCCTCAAGTGGATTTTAATGTTTTCTTTAGAAAAAAAGAGTAACATGTGCGATCCGTGTACAGTTTGCCGAAGTCAGCTCTTCTGCACATTGAAAAGAGGGATTATCCACTAGCAGCGCTCAAATGTAAACACGTTTGCAGATTTTATGTATCATCGGTCTCTAAGCACAACAAAGAGCAAATAACGAAATGGCAGCTTTTGCGCACTTCCCGAATATCTCTGATATGTTAAAGGAGGTAAATAAACAAGCAACATTTTTTCAACCTGCTTCGGACCCAAAAACATTAAATATTTAATGTCCAAAAATAGTGAGAGATAAATAAAAACGATTTCTGCTTAAGCAGGATTTCACTGAACCTCGATCGACTTTCAAAAAGCAGAGACCTTCCAGAAGCATATTTATGCAGTGCAGTGGTGTACAAATGGTTTTCTTTTGCTCCTAGTTAGCACAGTACAAAATATATCATGAAGCTGAATACGAAGTCTTTGCTGGCCTTTGCTAACTGTTTTAATCCCTGTCTGATACTTTTGGTGCATTCGCATGTATAACTGCAGTATCTCTTTCTTACCCTTCTGGGAATAAAACTACTGTGGTAAGCCAAATTTCAGATCGAAAATTGTGACATAATTCTTATTTCTTCAACCTGTGCAAAACGACTGGGCATTTTACCGTGGAGTCTGCGATGGTAACATTTAACTAGCCACATAAAGGTACTGTCATTCTAAGAAGGAATGATACAAGTAATACGCTTTCATTCAAGATAGGCAGCTGTTAGGAGTAAACTGTAGTTCCTTGCTTTAATAAGTATGCTCAGTATGTTGACGGCCAAACTGCCTAAATCAAAGAAGGAATAAGGACGGTATTCTTCACCCAATTGCATAAGCATTGCTTTTATTTTTCGGTTGACTACTGTTTTCCAATATTATAATCTTGTAATGTCTAACGCTTTAGCCTGCCAATTGTGTCTCAATGTGCGCAAGCATAAACGTTGAATGGGTACTTCTGTGACATCCGACATTTCTAATTTAATAAAGTTTGCATATTGAGAGAGTGGAATGCGCTTTATTTTGAAATCATATGTTCAAAATTTTCAGCAAAAAGTTAGCTCCATTCACTATGGGAGGTAAATAAGTTAATAGGATATTCAAGAGTCTAAGTTTAACACAAAGAAACGATTATTATGGGGATAGTTCAAGTCTTAGCTTCTGTATTTCTGTCTCTTCGCACGTAAGATAGCGCGCTAGGAATGGCAATACAGAAGCTCGATAAGCCGATGTGCGACAGGATATAAGACGGAAGTTTCGGCGCATCCGGCCGGAAGACTTGGCAGGCATAAGATCGGAATGTAGGGGATGGGCAACGTCATCTAGAATTCGACCAGCAAATTGCTTGACCGCATTGAAGTGTCGTTGTAAGATTGTGTCAACTAAAAAAAATATTAGAAACACCAGCAGCAGAAGAGAGCATGCGGATGATTCGTTTCAAAATTAAAAGATTAAAAGCAGGAAAAATGACAGGAGAACAGTATAGGATAAGAGGAAGAATGCAGGCATCAATGAATCGCCAGACTAAGGGTTGAGGTATGTGGTAGGAACGTAAACGACGTATGTAGTAATGACGTTTGCGAAGTTTAATAAAAAGGGACTCAACATGGAGGGAAAATGAAACATTTGAGGACAAAGTTACACCGAGATACCTTAAAGAGGATACTTCGTTAGGGAGAATGTCAGAGGAATCAGGGCTAGGAGAGGGCCGCAGTCGAAAAATACACTGAACGGATTTTTGGTTGTTAATTAGAAGACAATTTTCCTCCGACCACGCTAGGACATGGTTTAGGCCATCCTTTAGAGACCGGAGGTGTGTCTGACTTTTGAGAGGGTGTCCAACAACCACATCGTCAGCATACTTGACCAGAAGACAGTCATTAGGGGACCGGAGATCATCAGTGTAGAGGGAGAAAAGGTGAGGGGATAGAATGGAACCTTGAAGAACACCGCAGTCATTGGGAAATTTCCGCTTACCAGATTGGACAAATTGGGTGCTGAAGGTAAAATAATCGGTAAGCGAAGAGACGACCCAGCCTGGAGAGACACATGCGGAGGTTTTGGGAAGGAGAAGAGGGCGCGGGACGGTATTGAAGGCGTAGGAGTAATCAAGAAACTCGCACGCATACTTGCGGCCACCCTTGTCTAATGCTTTTAGAGCAGAATGGACCACAAGAGCGAGAGCATCTAAAGTACTCCGTTTAGTTTGTATGCAAATTGTAAGGAATCGGAAAAACTGGGCTTGGAGTTGCATACACGCCGGAGGCAACCATCAGGCGTCAGTTGATGAACCCAAAAGACCCACTGCCACAGAGTCGTTTATCGGATCTGGTGCAGTTGTGGACAAAGCAACTACGTCGGAGAAACTGGAAGACAGCTCCGAACGCGAATGGTTGAGTACGCTGCAGCAGTGCGGAGAAATGACGCCAGCTCTCAAGTTGCGGCTCATTCGACGGGTTCCGGCCACACATTCAAATTTGACGACGCCGAAATTCTCGCAAGAGGTAACAACCGAGTGAGCCGGGAGCTGCTTGAGTCATGCTTTACTGGCCCCCAGTCTATCAACAAGTGCAATAATCTTCCCATTCAATACAGCGTGCTGAGACTTCGTCTAGACGGAGTAATTGGCCACGCGGGAAGCGCAGTGGTGAACACTCTTCCCAACACCCGGGTCAGCGCGTCAGATGGTCGAGCAATCATCACGCCAACATCCAACGCAAGTGATTAAATTGCAGCAATTAACGACGCGAATATCGGCCATCACGCCACGTGC